CCCCAAAACCCCAAAACCCCAAAACCCCAAGTTCATCAGTAATTCTATCTAAAGATGATAAAATAATATTTTTAAAATACAAATTATAATATAGCCAAAATGGAACAGTCACTTTCTCAGAAAGATTAATCTTTGCAAAAGTTGCTATAGTCTATGTAAAAAACCCAACCTATATATACAGAGGAAATATCTTTAATTGATAAATTCATCATGACTCATTCAAGTCAGTATTAGTTACCAGATTAAATGTACAAGCAGTTATTACTGAAAATTCTTGAAAATAGAATAAACAATAATGACTGGATTGAGAATTCTTAAAGTTAGCATTAATTGAGGATATTTCAATCTATAAGAATCTTATCAAGAGAAGAATAGTTAACTGTAAGCTTTGATTTTGTTAATATTATAGTACTGCTTCATTGAAAATGATGGAATCAAGTTTATGTCGAAAAAGTTGCACCAACTTACTCCAATATGCCTTCAAACTGTTGAAAATGAGATGCAATGCGAGGTTTTAACAGAGATTATTTCAATTATTTGGAAGGTTTTCCATCGATCTTGCGGCCGAGGTGATAAAGCAATTAGGGATAAAATATTGAGCTAAACATTGTTTGAAGATTTACAGCTACTTTTAGCAGTTTCTCATAGTCTATTACTCAGATGTGTATTAGAAAGCATATTGACATTCCTAGAAAAGTAAGCAATATCATAGTAATTTACAAATTAAACACTGTAGTTCTTAGATATCCCATCACTTTAGAAATAACTATACAGTTGATATTCTCCTAAGAATTATTGATGAATTTCCAGATGAATACAAAGTGTTAGCAGCTGGAGCACTGACTCATTTATGTAGAGATAATGAGATTTTAAACCTATTCAAACAGTTTGGAGGGTCCGAAAAACTGATAATGTAAGTATCATATCTTTTGGATACTTACCTTTATAGATAATTGAATTAAACTACTAATGATCAAGTCAAATTAAGCATACTAGTATGCTTTTAAACAGTGACATCCGATGATTATGACATACTGGTAGACATGAGAAATCTGAATCTGGTGTAAATCATTTTAGATCTTCTTGTGTACAATCAAGGCAACCCTATTCTAGTTGGATCGATGTTAACAATTTTAACAAATCTATCTTTAAATGATTAAAACAATATCAAAATTAGACTGCACGGAGCTCACATAATCGGGAAGATTTTAATGGATAATTGTCCCTCATACAATCGTGAAAATCCGAAGAAATATGTAAGCTAAAATACTTTAATAATGCTAGAGAGAAGATGCGAGTGAAAATATGAAGATTTGCCATGAAATTTAACTTCATTGTTTGAGAGTCCTCCGCTTTTTATATTCTGTTGAAAAAAATAGGAAAGCTTTTAAACTTATTTTCCCTCCCGAAATTTTTGGCGCTTTTATTGATGTTGGAAACTACAATAAAGACTTTTAATCATATATTCCGCTTCTCAAAAAATTCAATAAGAAACTTCCTGTATCATTTGAATAAATTTAATGGATTACTTTAGTTCAAAAGTTAGGATTAAATCGCAAGAAACTTTGAACAAATGGGCTCATTTGTAAAATTAGGGAGTGATTCATCCAAGTATATTGGCGGATACTAAGTTCTGGATTTAATAGTAACTATTCTTATGCTTTCATAATTTCTAGGGGAAAGGAGCATTTGGTTCTGTTTATCAAGTTGTTAAAGGAGAAAATTAGTATGCGATGAAAGAGTTGCCCCTCAGCCATTTTGATGTAACCCCAGAATAATTCTAGAATTTTTATGATGAGCACTCAAAAAACCAAGCGACTATAGATGACTTAGTAGTCTAAGAAATTTGCAGAGAAGTTGCTATCCTTAAAGATCTTGATCATCCAAACATAACGAAGTATTACACATCCTTTGCAGAGGGCTAATACATTTACATTGTAATGGAATTGCTTGATGGGATATCTTTAGCAGACTTCATTTTATCGTAAACTGAGAAAGTAAATAAAATCATCAATCAATCTATTTTAGAAATAAAGAGTTAAAGAAGAAATCGTATGGAATATTTTAACTTAACTTAGTGCAGCATTAAGATATTTACACGTGGAGAAGAGGGTAGTGCATAGAGATTTAGCTCCCTCAAATATTTTAATAGATGGAGATTTCAATCTGAAACTAGCTGATTTCGGTTTAGCCAAGAAATGGGGAACCTAATCAGCAAGTGTCATGAAATCCTTTGTAGGTACTATTCTCTATTCTTGCCCTGAGATAGTCCAATCTCAACCTTACACTGAGAAGGCAGATATATGGTCTCTAGGTTGCATTATATACGAGTTAATGACGTTTATTCAACCCTTTAGTGCAGGCAATCCCTTAACAGTTGCAAAAAAAATAGTTGATGGTGATTATGAACCCTTAAACGATGACTTCTACTCTCCAATGTTGATTGCAGTTATTAGGAAAACTATGACAGCAATTCCTAAGCAGAGACCAAATATTCTTGAGCTCTGTCAAATGATGGTACCCATTTTAATGTAGTAGATGGATGATCTGAGGATCAAAGATGATAAAAATACTCGTGAATTGAAGTATTTGAAGGAAAGAGTAAAGATGTTCGAGGGGACATCTGCTTCAGGATTCAAGGGGCTATAAGGCCTCTAGATTAACACTAATAACAATTCAGCTTCAATGAATACTACTCAATAAAATAAACTACAGGCGACCGCGAATGATTTTAAGGTCGTGAATATTAATTAGGAGAGCATTAAAAAGATGAGTGCGGATCCAGTTGCTAATTTCCTCTAGACTGTGAATAAACTATAGTTCATTACTTGCCTGCCACCTTCGCTTAAAAAAGACTCTCGATAGATCCATGTAGAAAACTTCTACAGAAGTTTATTTGGCAAAAATTCAAATGGCGCTAATGTCAAAAATGAATTGATAAAGTTAAATAATTGCTCGCGAGAAACTATAAATATTGGAGGTCAAACTTTGCAATCTCTTAAAGATGTAACATACGAAGTGTTGAGTTAAATGATAGAGGATATCTTAAGAGATAATGGCTTTTATCAAACTGCCTCGGCTTAATTAAATGAGTGATGTTTTTTCAAGCCCATTAAAGGTTTAGACATAAAGAAGATAAATTAATAGACTCTCAAGCAGTTATTAAAGGTTCAGAATGATAAATAATACTTCTTATTTAATTAATGCTTTTAATTAACTTATTATTCAGAGCTATAATTATTTAAAGCATTTAATAAATCAATAATATAATGCAAGTTTGTTCCAATATTTCTAATAAATCTAGAATAAGAGTACAAGCTAATGATTTCACTAATCATAGTTCATGTGAACTCTGCTTGGGGTTTTGTTTGTGTTCAGTCCTGTGTCGTGGAAGTTACCGCCTAAGAACTGCTTGGTAAAATCTACACTTCTAGGGAAATATTTGTCTAATTTAACTGTAAAAAGATTCTAAATCTTACTGGGAAGGTCTTGATCCGATGGTTTGGTTGTTCCGTAACCCATGTTTGAAGTTCTGTACAACAAATTGCCAATATTTAGACCTGGCTCTGGATACTTCATCTCATCTCTAGCGCCTGGGAAATCTTTAGGAATGACTGAAGACTTCTTAGCAACATTCATGTCATTCTTTATTCTCTCATAAATCTGAGTATCTAATTCTCCGTTCTCTCTCATTTCCTTAAGGACTTCATGCTTGTATGTTCTAAGAGAATTCTTCAATGCAAGCTCACGTTCACCCTATTAATCTAATGAATAATCTCTTCAATTTATGTGAAATGAGTTCTTATATCATTAAGTATCAATGTTCTGTGGCTTAAACTTACAAGGTCTTTGTACTCAGGGGTTTCTTGCATGTGTCTTGGATCAACTCCACCACTGGCTTGCCAAGACTCACCGTAACCGTTGTTAACAGTCTTGAAAAAGGGGTTTCCATTTCTATCCATTTTTCTTATTTTATTTATTGATTATGCAATTTATAATAGAAGGTGTTTTTAATAATTCAATTTATTAACAGCTAACAAACAAGATGAAGACTAACATTATGGCTCTGAAAATATTCGGAGTTCTGGCAGTCCAGCCCTAATACTAGATTCTGATACTTTCCGTTCTAGCCACAGTGGTTGCAATCCTTACTAACAACCTTGTACCCCCTGAGAAAGTTCATCTTGCCTCCCTCATCATAGAAATGATTGCTATGTAATCGGCTCAATTTATTATGCCTAGAAGCTTTCTATTAGGATTCCTGACGATTTACTCGATTTCTCAGTACCTACTCCACTTAGTGTTCACATTTCTTCCAATTAGCTTCCAAGATACTTATTTGAACTTTGGATTGCTGGCGGTTAGCTACTTCATTATCAAAGAGCTGAGAGAAAAAAGATCCAGAGAAGTAGAGACATTTGAGATGCAATATCTATCAGGAAATGAGTGCAATTTAAGCCTGTTGTTAATAACTCTTGGAGGATCTATGTTAGCTATGCTCTACTAAATGAGTTTGGGCTATGTTCTAGGAAATGCTGGACTGCTAGGACTTTCAAGATATGCAGCTCTTGTCATGGGTTCATACTTTGGATATTGTTTAAATGAAACGTAACTAGCTTAATATAGCAGCATTTCCACCAATCAAAGACTGTCACAAATTATCATTACTTTCATCGGTTAGATCATGTTGGCTTGCACTTTTAGCCAATATACCCTAGCTTTATTAGCAATTTACTACTCTACTGGTTTGACAATCAATTATTTGAAGGAGAAGCAAGATATTTTAACTGAGATTGATCATATGTACTACTACAAACTTATATGAAGCCAACCAGTCAAGCGAAATCTTGATCATATGATTAAATTGATATGTTGATTAAAATTTATTCTTCACTTTCTAAATACATCAAACCACTTCTATTAATATACCTCGGGGTTTTGGGGTTTTGGGGTTTTGGGG